TTTGGAAAAAAAGAAGGATAAATAGAAGAAAGGAGATTTTTGGAAATACTTAACTGATGAGGTTTGTAATACATGTTTCCGTTTTTCATTAATTTATGTATTTGTTTTATTGATTAACTCTTTGATAACTATTTGCTGATATTTGCTATGGCCCGAGGTATACTACTTCTGAAAGTTTGATATTACACAACTAATATAAACTCTACATGATTTTATTAAAGAAATATAATTTGTGGGCTGGAGAGATGGCTCAGTGGTTAAGAACACTGGTTGTTCTTGCAGAAGACCTGAGTTCGAATCCCAGCACCCACATGGCACCTAACAACTGTCCGTAACTCCAGTCCCAGGGGATCCTACAGCCTCTTCTGACCTCTGCGGGCACTGCACAACATGGGTGCACTTACATGCAAGCGATACACACATACACATAAAAAAAAATAATAATAAATAATTTTTTTAAAAAAGAAAAGAAATATAATTTTTTTTTTTTTAAAAAAAAGGAAGGTAAGAAGATCTGGCCTGGCATTTATTTTCAAACTGTGTCAGAAGAAAAATTGTTTCTGTGAGTCAGTCCTTTGGGTCCTAAATACTGTTAGATTTGGAGTGGAGGAAGCAAGGAAAGTGTCCCAACACTAGATAACATGTAAGGTTAATAATTAATGGGAGCCTTCCCTGAGTATTAATAAGCATTTGGTCTCTTTAGCACCAGAAATTAGCAAGAAGACCTCAGACCCAGGTGAGACAGGAGAAATGAGGAGTCCCCTCCGAGTCCCCGGTTTCTTGCTTTTATGCATCTTTATCCAATCAAGTGCCCATGGACAAAGCCTGGGATCAGGTAAGAGCCGCTTTCCTCTGGAGGTGGGCATGCATTCTTCTTTCTTGGCTGTGTTACAGAGATTGACAATGTGAGATGGAATTTACTTCAAAGAATACCAGTTGCTTCTATTAGTAACATCACAGGTACCCAGAGCCATGTGGCATTTTGTAAAGGGGACTGAATTTTCAGAAAGCAGCTCTAGGAGTTGGAAGTCTTCTAAAAGTGCCTGCAGCGGGCAGTGAGGTTTCTTGAAGGTCTGATTTTTGAACACTGTCGGGCGGAAGACCCCTTCAGTGGAGAATGATCTGAAAGACTTGAAACCTTCCTGAGAGTTCATTTGACTTCTAATTTGTGATCGGGGAGCACCATCTGCGATTAAATGCTCTGTCTTGTTGGGGTTGTCGAATGGAATTGCCTGGCTCTCTGAAGACAGAGGAATTTGAGTCCTGTTTCTAGTAGGGTCTAGAGTGGTGACATCATCGCGTGTGTCCTAGCCTTTAGTTTTCTGCAAAGCTTTTCTCGTCGGCTAAAGTAAAGCCGCCAACAGTCCACCTGTTTAATATGTGACTAAATAAACTAGACTGATGGCCAAAGACAGACTCACGTGCTCCATCAGTCAGATGGAATCCAGGTTCCTGGCTGAGTTATGTTTTAGATCAATAAATGATGGAAATGAAATTAACTGAACAATTTGGCCAAGCTAGACAGATATTTGGAACTTTGCTTTTATGTTCCTCATAATTAGGATCCACCAGTGTGATGGCAGATACTTAGACTGTTCTTGAATTTTGACTGATTGACTGACTGATTGACTGACTGACAAATTGATTGACTGATTGACTGACTGACTGACTGACTGATTAATTGATTGATTGATTTACTGACTGATTGATTTAGAGCAAAGTATAGCACAAAGCCTAAAATGGCTTCAATCCCAAGAATCTCCTGAGGACTGAGGTCACATGCCTGAGCCACCACACCCACCAGAGACTTAGATTTTTATTTTCTCAAAGACTATGCTTAGAGATGGAGGGATGACTCAGCAGTTAACAGTACATGCTGCTCTTCCAGAGGACCAGAATTTGGTTCCCAGCATCCACATTAGGTGGCTCACTTACAACTGCCTGTAACTCCAGCTCCAGCGGATCTGACACCCTCTTTTGGCACTTGCAGGGACCTGAACACACATGGCATACACACATACATACACATACACATAAATAAAAATAAATCTTAAAAAAAGGACTGTGGGACTGGAGAGGTGGCTCAGCAGTTAAGAGCACTGGCTGCTCTTGCAGAGGACCCAGGTTCGATTCCCAGCATTCACATGGCAGCTAACAAACATCCATAACTCCAGTTCCAGGTGAATTTGACTCTGTCCTCTGGCCTCTGCAGGATGTGCATAACAAGGGTGCGCTTACACACATGCAGGCAATATACCCATATACATAAAATAAAAATAATAAGTAAAATATTTTAAAAAGTAAAAAATAAAGAAAAATGACTGTGCTTGAAGAAAGTTCCAAAAATGTTGAGAATCAAGGACTTACTAGCAGGGTATACACCTGAAAATTTCAGAAACTTTTTCTCCCTTAAAGAAAACGGCTGTTCTATTGAATGTATTATTTTATAGCCTAGGTCAGTTACTAACTTGGTATTACTTACTTCCATTCACTGAGCATTTTATGTGTCAAGTACAATACTAATTTTTTTATACATCATCTCATTCTTAATTCCCTGTCTAAAAATGTCTCTTACATCATAATTTTGAGCCATGCCAATAAAATGGCTGATGATTTTTTTATTCCCTGGATTCAGAGTGAAACTGCTAAAGGGTCTTCCTTGCCTCTTTCCCAGAATATTGTATTTCTTTTTTATTGAAATATAACATGCATCTTGAAAGGAACCATCAGGACATAGTGGACTCATGCCTGTAATTGCAGCACGCAGGAAACTGAAGCAGGAGGGTCACTAGGAGTGAGGGGTCAGCTTGAGCGACAGAGTAAGGTCCTGTCTCACAAAAAAAAAGGATGAAAAGAAGGGAGGGAGGGAAGAAGAAAGAAAGAAAGAAAGAGAGAAAGAAAGAAAGAAAGGAGGAAGAAAGGGAGGAAGGAACAAAGGGAGAGATGGAAGGAATGAAGGAAGGAAGGAAGGAAGGAAGGAAGGAAGGAAAGAAGGAAGGGAGGGAGGGAGGGAGTCTAATAAGTCCTCAATGAATTTTAACAATCTGAACTCACATGTCCAAACCACCCTTGAGAAGCCTTACCATGTATTTATTACTTTGCCTGCTGGGAGACGCTCCATCCATGAGAACTCGCTGGGAGCTCTCATGTGCCAAGCTTCTTTCCTTCAGTGTTGTTTAAAAGACATCCTGCAGTTTAGTATTCTAGTTCATTCATTCTCTTTGCTGATGTCGTTGTGTGACTATGGCAGACTACATTCATCTGTTTTGCTGAGGGACCCAGGCTGCTTTTAAAATTAAAGAAGGAACTGAGACAATAACAATTACTATTTTTACATAAATATTACTGAAAACATTTTTGTCTTACGGAACAGAAAGGAATTTAAATGATCTATCTGTGCTTCAAACACAATGCATGAGGCAGACCAATGAAGGCGATCAGTCATGTATATAAATTTTTCTTCACCGTGGCATGGAGTTTAATAAGTCCTACTGGAGAATAGCCACAGTTGCCCGGAGCTTATTCCAGATGCGGGTGCAGAGAAGGCACCTGGAGGAGGCCATGTTTGAGAGAGGTTTTGCAGGCTAGTGTCCACATAAAAGAAAACAAGGCTTTTCTTGTGCAGAAGCACAGGTATAGAGCTGATAAAGTGTCTTTCAAGCCCAAATGTCTTCTGAAACTAAGCCATCTAGGGAGAAGGGGGAAGAGGAGAAGGAGCAGGAGGAAGAGGAAGAGGAAAAGAAAGAGGAGGACCAGGGGAGGAAGGAGAGGAGGGAGAGAAAGAGGAGGAAGAAGAGGAGGAAATGAGGAAGGAAGAGGGAGAGGAGGAGGAAAAAGAAGAGAAAGCGAATGGAAGAGTTAGCAAACGTGCACAGTACTGGTTAAACTGCAGCACACCAGAAACACCCCCCAATGGTGGGAGTCCACCTACTGCCAAGTTCATCTTTAAACTCAAATACCTGAGACTAAGTGTTCCAGAAAATTTTGGAGGTGGTAATAATTGGGTTCTGGAATAAATGGCTTATTACTGAACTTACAATGCTCACAGTTCAATAGCAGGGGTCTGCACTCAACCAGGTGATGAGTTTAAGAGCCCTGGCCCCTCCTGAGATGCTCCAGGGCTGGATTTTGAGAGGGGATATAGGTTACATCACTTGATAAATTATCAAAGGAACCTATGACCGCAAAAAAAAGTTCAAGAACCATTTATCTTACTGCTTTATAAAGGGAGGGGGGGTAAGGAAATTTGGCTTATAGTAATAGGGCAGGGAAAAGAAGACTCTTATATGTTGAGTCACTACATGAGAAAAATGTGCACATGTATCTTACTAGTGATTAGAAGTACATGTTAAAGTATAGAGAGTTTTTAAAGTCATAGTGTGCTCTTTTGGGGGAGGGGTGAAATTTCAATGCACAAGGAGGAACGGAGGGATAGGGAGAGGGAAAGAAGAGAAAGAGAGAGGAGAGGAGGAGAGGGAAGGAGACTATCTACAGTTAGATCAATCCTGGGTCTGGGAGTGTAGCTCAGTGGTTACCTAGCATATGCAAGGCCATAAATTTGATCTCCAATTGTTGGGGAGGCTTAGATTAGCCTTGGATTTGTCACAGTAAAAGGGCCACTGAGAGAAGAATCTTGCACTCACCCTTCAGATCCACCATCTCCACCCATCTTTGCAGGCTCAGTCAGGCTCAGATCACCACCCCAGTGAGACATGCTAGTTCCCCACTGGCCTCCACCAAGGAAAGTCACTCCTAACTAATATGAGAGGCAGTACCCACCCAGGATGAACACATATCCACAGATGGGGAGCAGCTGGGGATCAGCCCCAGCATTCTAGGGAATCCACTTTCCTCAGCAAGAGACTCTCCCACCCACTGACTTCTTGCCCTGCAGCTCAGAGGGTCTAGAATCCTCCTGATGGGTCTCCTCAGGAGAGGACAGGCCCAAGACTGGAGGACAGACATCTTGCTTCCACCCTGCCTTTGACAGGGACCTAGCACTATACAGAGAGAAATTGCGGAGCTATTGAAGGCCTTGGGTCTGTAAACTCACCTGAAAATAGGAAATCACCCAGTGAGTGCCCAGCCAAAAGCCAGCTGAGAATTTGGTATCTAGATTCCCCACTGTGGCCTTCCCCTCCCCTCTGTCCTATTTACTACACCAGCTGCCAGGATGCCCAGGGCTCTCAGGAGGAGAGGCTGCCCTGATTGAGGCCTGGTCTGCAAACAAAGCTGAGTGATCCCAAATCCATCCTCTGTGGTCATATCCCTAATAAGGCGGAGTTCACACAGGGCAGTGCTCTCAATAGCAGGAAGGTGGCTGCCCTCTGGCTCCAAGAAGGGCATCCATTTTAGAGTGGAGCCTTCCCCGACAAGAAATGGGGTCCAGCCTGCTGGGGAATAGGGTGGCCAGAGTCAGGGAGAACATCCACACCCCTGCCAAGGGACCACAGGCACCACGGCTGGACTTCAGCCCCAGTGTGAGAGCCAGACGATGGGGAAGAGCCCGGCATTCCTGTAAGGATCGGAGGAGCTGCAGTAACATGGGCAGTCGTCGGGGGCGGGGGGATGGGATGGGGGCAATTCACACTCAAGCACAGAGTTTGGGGCCAGGAGAAAAACTATAGTCATTGATGCACTCACTGAAGGATCCCAGGGGCCCGTTGGGCTTCTCCAAACTAGATGCAGTTCTCAGTCATGGCCACTAGGGAGCGCACTGACGTCTCCACTGTGTGTGAAGACAAAGCTATGAACTCATCTCGCCCATTCTTCTCCCATTTAACGCTCAGTCTTTTCGCTTTTCCCCAGTTGGGTTTGGGGCAGGAGGAGCAGGGG